TATATGCATAACTATATTATATAATATAACCAGACAACGCAAGCACACAATAGAATCTTTATCCGTAGCATAAATAAACACAACCCAACACGGAAGGCTGGGAAATTGTCCAAATTAAACAGAATGAATGGGAGATAAGTAGAAGTGTTTGCTCTTTTTGGTATCTAGCAACGTCCACAGAAGGTCACCGTAGAATGAAAAGCGCGCTGTTTAGTGGATTACGCTATCACAAAGCACTTATATTCCGCACAGCACTTCACAGGGAATCATTTAGGTGACCTGTAATATCAGTGTAATACCCAGGAAGTCATGTGTGAGCGGTCACAGACACCTTTCCCCTGGAATTCTTCAATGTTTGTTCACATTGTCTCTGCTGAACCAACATTCAACAGGCCTACGGAGGCCTCAGACGTGCCGATCAGTGATCAAAATGTATACAATCAATCAAAAGCATAAGGATTGCGATCGACAGAATTTTCATCAATTCGCCACAAACATAAAGGCGGTTTCAATCAATCTGCCACAAAAACGGTCGTAGGTGATCAATGGCGTTATGCAATCTTCCAATAGACTGATCGGACGTCCAAACGGGAACAAACAAGCGATTGATTTCTACTGATTTTTGGATCAGCTCCCTCGATTGACCCACATGGATGGAAACTGGTACAATCAGTTGAGGATTGATCGGAAATGGCCGTGCCCAGCAAACATCCGCGTGCCATTTTCATCCGATCGCACACCGATCTTCTCTTTATCGACACGTCTGTCGCTGCCATTGAAGAGGTGGAATCATAAGTCTGAGCTCAGCGCCAGAGGCTGAAATGGCGGCTTTTGGTGATGCTTCTTTACGCACAAGAAAAAGGAATCATACAGCAGCAGGGTTGGTTTAGTGTTTGATCGGGTGGAGGGTTTGTGTAAGGGTCAGCAGTTAAGGGGTTAAGATTAAAGAAACACCGTCAATTTGCCTATATAGATGACAGTGTATTCCAATACCACCCTACCTCACCAGCAAGGTACTGTATACTCACAGACTTACTCCCCCCCCTTCCCTTGCAGGAGTCAACTGCCTGCTGCACTGCAATCCCTCCATTTTTCTTCTGCTGGGCTGCCGAACACCTCCCCTCATCTCCTTGAGAGGGAGGTGTTCTGTAATGCATGACATAGACTGGCATAGACTTCTATAGAGATTGTCTACCTCTGTCTCCATTAGGGATGCACCGATACCGGTATTTCGGTATCGAGTACCAGTACCGATGTTTTTTTTCAGTATTCGCCAATACCGAATATAGGAGTAGGGGAAGTCCCATTTAGGAAGCCAGGCGGCGTGTAATGACTCGCTATCCGGCTTCCTGATTAGCAGGGAAGCCGTCCCCATGCTTCTCGTCACTAGGTGACGAGAAAGCATGGAACTGGTTTTCTGGCCAATCAGAAAGCCGGGCGCCTTGTAATGACGCGGCGCCCAGTATCCTGATTGGCTCCATGCCCCCTGGTCATGAGGTGACGAGGCAACATGAAGCCGGTTTCCTGGCCAATCAGAAAACTGGCTTCCTGATTGGCCAGCTTCCTGATACCAGAAGTATCAGGTACGAGTACTCGCCCAAATACTCAGCATCGGCACCGATACTAGTATCGGTATCGGTGCATCCCTAGTCTCCATGCAGGGAGGCGAAGGCAGGCGAGCCCCATATACTTCTACGAGGCTGTAATAGGCCTGTGTGGCCAAGAAAGAGATGACTGGAAGAATAAAAACCCCTATACGTTTTTGGGGTTTTTCGCTGTCCATGTCCTTTTGGGGAGATTTCCCTTTACTTCCTGTTCTACAGATGCAACAGGAAGTGAGAGAAAATCTCCCCAAAATTAGAGGAATTCACATCTTAGCATTTCCCGGAACATTCCCCATTGGAAGACTTCCCCTCCACTCTTACTTTCATGACAGCTCTAACATTTTTGGATTTTCCCATCATTTCCCATATGATTGACAATGGTGACCAGGACAGACAGGGAGAGGGTGAATCTCGTTTTCTTTCTATAGTATACAATAAAGAACTATGGGGTTAAAGGAGAACTAAGAGGTGAGTGCTTATCACTCACCTCATAGTTCTAGCCGACATGTGACAATGAGACTGTCACAGGTCGGCTCAGTAGATTGGGAGGTGAGAGAACACATACCGTCGTTCGCTCACCTCTCGATCCTGTCACGGCTCTCTGCTGTGACAGGGGAGGGCTGGATTCCCCCCTCCCTGCTACGATCCGCCAGCGCTGACTGGCGAAACGGACGGGGGAGGGGGCGGGTACAGCTGGCTCTGCCTCTAGATAGGCAGAACCAGCTGTCAGTCACGCAGCTGGGCGGATCCCAGCACAATCCAGCCCCTCCCCTGTCACGGCAGAGAGCCGTGACAGGATCGAGAGGGGAGCGAACGCCGGTATGTGTTCGCTCACCTCCCGATCTACTGAGCCGACCTGTGACAGTTTCATTGTCACAGGTCGGCTAGAACTATGAGGTGAGTGAAAAGCACTCACCTCATAGTTCTCCTTTAACCCCTTTAGGTTGTTGCAAAACAATACCGGCGCCTTCAAATCCAAAAAGAGCTCAGCAGTAAAAATACAGCAAACACGATGGAGGCAGCTCCCACAGATTAGATGGACCACCAGTCTATGAGAAAAGGAACAAAAGAGAGCGCCTCCATAGTGTAAACATGTTATTTAATAGTAAAAACACGCAGCTCTAAGGCTGTACTTACAACAGTTCGGTAGAATAAAAACCAGTAGAAAGAGGTGAGAGGACGGAACCCCGGGCAGGGAGAATCTGTAGCGATGTAAAACACCAGTAACCTCGATCCCTGTATTGATAAGTGGTTTACGCGTTTCTGGGGCACGCCCCCTTCATCAGAACCAGATTATTATTATAAAGCGCAAATTCCACTGACTCCCATAAACCCCATTACACCTGTTCCCTTTTGGCAAACCTCTGATGTGCTCGTCTCATATACAGTATCATATCACATCGCTGAGCATCTTTCCTGGAAGGAGTGAACGCACACGGGTCTTCACATGTCTTCGGCTGTTGACTGCCAAAGCGATTTCATCAATCAGCATCTCCCTTTCAGCAGTGTTAAAACCAACCTGTGCTTTGCCAATGCAATCTGTAAAGAGACCCTGTCACCAACTTTAAAAAAAACTGCAGATAAAAGCACACAAAAACTAACAGGGTTATTCACAAAAGGGTGAAGAGTTTGGAGACGGCAGGAGAAGTGAACAATCTAGGACAACAAAGCTGAACTGGAAAGTGAGCTGAATTGGAGAATGTTTCCAAATCAGCTGTTTTGTCCTAGATTGTTCTCTTCTCCGGCCTTCTCCAAACTCTTCACCCTTTTATGAATAGCCCTGTAAGTGTTTTAAATGCTCATTTGCAGTATTACACTGATGTGATGAATCTGGTTCTGCTGACATTACATCCAAGATGGCGGCGCCCAGCAGACGTTTCAGGGCTTTTGGATGTCTACACAAGGGACACCTGAAGGTTAGTATGAATTGCCAGAGAGGTGGGGAGTTTTCATAAACTTGCTGACAGCCCCCTATGCCCTAAAAACATAATGCCATTTATGTCAACTAGAAGGCCCATGTAAATTGAAAAAAAACAAAAACGTGCACAACCACCTAGTGCAGGGGTGTCCATTCATTCGATCACGATCTACCAGTCAATCGCAAAGCAAACACTGGTAGATCGCGATCGGCTGTGTCCTGTCCTCCCGCTGTGGGGCTTCTCCTCTGGATCCCCGCTGCTCTCCCCCATCTGTATGCAGCGGGGATCCGAGGAGAAGTGAAGGAAGCGCTGCAGCCGGCGGCGGGGAGGCAGCATGGCCGAGCACGGCTGTGACAGCGGCTCCCTCCTCCACCCCCCACCAGCTTCAGGGCTTCCTTCACTTCTCCTTAGATCCCCACTGCATACAGATGGGGGAGAGCAGCGGGGATCCAGAGGAAAAGCTGCAGGCTGGGCAGTGTGCGTGGCCGAGCGGCAGAGGATTGGTACATATCAGTGATATCAGCTGATCACTCCAGTGTTTGTAAATAACTGGCTACACATAGTACTAGTTCAGATTCAGACATTACCCCCACAGTATAGTATTTTGTCATTAGATAGCCTCAGTGTGATGGTCAGCATCGTTCAACCCACTTCCTCTGAGCCCAGGTCATACTGGGCTCACCTATAGCCTGTGACTGGACAGTGAAAGAAGAAGCAGTGCAGTGATGAGCTCATCTGTCTGTCATTCTGCTCTTTTCTCCCATCAGCATGTTCCTTGTCAGGACGTGAACTGATTGGTTCCTTGTGTTGCTTCCTCCTCTCACACTTTATCACTGCAGTACTGGGAAAGTAATAGCTTCTACGTGGTTACATTCAGGTACTCACACTGCTTGCATTTAATGATGAATGAATTAATGATTACAGAGCTGTATTGATTTGTGTCTTTTATATCTGCCTGGAGTTCTGCGGAACATGATGACTTGACTTGAAAAAAAGCCAATATTTACCCACACCATGTGACACAGATTCAGGAGGCCCTGAGGCCTGAGTGAGTTACATGAGTGACATATATGTATTGGGCCTGGAATTCAACACTAATCCTACTTTGTTTCATTTTTCCTGAGGACAGGTCCTCTTTAAGACGGCCATACACATCGGCCTCTGATCATTCCTACAAAGGATCCAAAATGGTCACTTTTACATCCACATTGAATTGTAGACGCTGCCTGGAGCACATCAAGACTGCATTACAATGAAGAACAATGGTGACCACATCGTAGCCAGCCTCTCCCTCCCCCAACCCCAACCTGATGGGGATCTGTTAGCTACAGATGCTCGGGGGCCATTTCCACCATTGGCACACTCCGGGGCACACAGAACCAATCACATCATACTAAAAAGCAGAGACAGCTCACCCTTGTGACTTCAAGTACAACATAAAATAATCTCCAGCAGGCATGTCAATCCATCTATAGCAGCAGAAATGATTATGCATGAGGACAGAGCTAAATAAACTGACGCATTTCGGAAAGCAGACATACAAAAACCTTATTAACCGCTTGAAGACCAGGTGTTTAGATCCCCTACCTGGCCAGGCCATTTTTCAGTGTTCAGCACTGCGGTACTTTGACTGACATTTATTCCGTCACGCAACGCTGTACTGAAATGAATTTTATACCATTTTTTGGGGACAGATAGAGCTTTCTTTTGGTGGTATTTAATCACCTCCCAAAAAATTGGTAATAATAAATGTTTTAGAATTTAATATAAAGGGGGAACTGTTTTTTTAAAAATAAAATCTGTAGTTTTTCCTTAATATATTAAAAAATAAAAACCCCAGTGGTGAATAAATACCACCAAAAGAAAGCTCTATGTGTCCCCAAAAAAGGGTATAAAATTCATATCAGTACAGCGCTGCATGACGGAATAAATGTCAGTCAAAGTACCGCAGCGCTGAATACTGAAAAATGGCCTGGATGGGAAGGGGGTTTAACACCGCGGATGTCAACTGGTTAAGTCAGATTTTATGGGAAGTTTAAAGTGAATCTGACACTTTTCCCAGGTTCCCTTGATAGTCCAACCCCTACTCCACTGCTGCTTTCTGGGCTACCCTACCACATGGATCTCCACTAAGAGGTCATAGGAGGCCCAAACCTGCACTCAGCTCAGTGTACCGATGCAATACTTGGGTGAGGTCCAAGCTGTGTAAGACCACCAGGAGAACTCTTTAATGCAAAAGGGGTTCCCAAATTGCTCAAAAATCTCTGTGCAACGGGACTAATCTGTCTCTCTTCTCAGAAGATGATGGGCCGCAATCATCCTCAGCAAGTCATCTATACATTTACAGCCAGCCAAACAAAAAAGCAATTACTCATGAAAATACATCACTGCCAAACAAACATTCCCAAATATATTGGTTATCTGGGGGCATTTGCTCAAATCTGCAGGTCACCAGCCCATGAGATAGCAATCTAAAGCCTATGGGGGGGAGGGGGGATCTAAGGTCAATGGGTCAGTCTAATGTCTAGAGGCCAATCTAAAGCCTATAGGGGTAATTTGAAGCCTATGGAGGTGATCTGATCTAAGGTCAATGGGTCAGTATAATGTCTAGAGGCCAAACTAAAGCCTATGGTACTACAGACCTACCGTACAACAGTGGCGATACCATGCAACAACCAACGATTCCCTTAGCCACCACAATAGGCCCAATCATGCCCTCAAATCCACACTTAGGTGCTGCATAGGGCTATCCTAAAGTCCAAAACAACCACAAATGTTGTGCAGGCCTACACTAAGGGGCAACATTGATCACCGGTTTGGTGTAGGAACACTTTAAACTGCAATATTGACTGCAACGTTTTATAGGGCTACCCTAAGGGGTGACAATGACTGCCAGAGTTGTGTAGGGCTACTCTTAAAGTGACACTAAACCATTTTAAGATTTAACTCCTGGGCTATTTTAAAGTGCAACATTGACCACAGGTATGGTGTAGGAATCCACCAAAGAGTGATACTGACCATCGTTCTTGTGTAGGGCTACTCTAAGGGTTGTATTGACTGCCAGAGTTGTGTAGGGCTACTCTAAAGAGTGACATTGAATACAAGGGTTGTGTAAGGCTACCTTAAAAGAGTGATAAAGCCCATCGATGTTGTGTAAAGCTAAGAGGTAACATTCAAAGCCTTCGTGGTGTAGGCTATTTTAAAGTGCAACATTGACCACAGGTATCCCATATAGCAAGCAATTGAGCTGCAAGTTTGACAATGACTTGCTAAACTATTGCAGACTTGCCAAGCTTCACAATGTTGGTGCACAATTACAGCAAGTCTGCATTGCAAGTCTCCAGACCAGCGAGCTTGCAGAGCTCTTGCTAAGACCTGCAGGACTCTTGATGTAGATTTGCCAAGCAAATTTGCTACAAATTCAAAAAGGGTCAACTAGAACTTGTGCTGCCAGTGTTCTGCAAGTCTACAACTTGCCAGGAATGTGTGCATCAAGTTAACAAAAATTACAATTTCTCCCTGACCCAAGTTTGTAGCAAGTTATCCTTGATATCTGGGTATGGTAGGGATCCAATGAAGAGTGATATTGACCACCATTCTTGTGTAGGGCTACTCCACGGGGTGATATTGACTGCCGGAGTTGTGTAGGGCTACTCTAAAGAGCGACCTGAGGCACTCTGATGTCCATGGGTCGATCTAATGTCCAACTGGCTCTCTAATTTTTATGGGGCATCCTAATGCCTATGGGGCACTCTGATGTCCATGGGTCACTCTAATGTCCAAGGGGCTCTCTAATTTCTATAGGGCATCCTAATGCCTATGGGGCACTCTGATGTTCATGGGTCACTCTAATGTCCAAGGGGCTCTCTACTTTCTATGGGGCATCCTAATGCCTATGGGGAACTCTGATGTTCATAGGGCACTCTAATTTCTATGGGGCACTCTGATGTCCAAGGGGCTCGATCATTTCTATGGAGCATCATCCTAATGCCTATGGGGCACGTCCATGGGTAAATCTAAGGTCTATGGGGCACCCTCTATCTGCCTTTAGCTGGGCAATCATCCATTCCCACCTACCAGCTGTTGTCACCTCTTGCACTGTCACTCTCTGATGCAGTATTGACTCTACAAATATTTATAGAAGTGTCTAAGAAGTAATAAAGTTGGGGAGTTGGACGGAAATCTGCAGCAATGCCATCAAGTTTTATTGCACAGCATGTTGCCTATTTTACCCTTACCTGCCCTGATGGACACCCCGAAACCACACCCTCTTCACCCCAGCGCTCAGAGCCCTCCGGACCAGCGGCATCATCCTCCCCGAGCACGCCATGAGAACCCGCACAGCCACCGCAACAAGTCCGGACAGCGGAACCGCCCGCAACAGCTCCTTGTACCTTTAATTAAGCCACGCCTGCCTCCCGCTAGTCCACGCCCGGAAGGAGGAGTCTATTTGGATACTATATCACTTAACGCTGTGCCCCCATTCCGCATCGATTTGACTATCCCCGCCCATACGCCATATATGGGTGGAGGTCGGCGAGGGAACGTCTAAAAAGTGTAGCGCACTTTCGGAGCCGTTGAAGTGCGAAGCTGAGCTGGAGGAGAGCGGGTTGGGGCCAATACTAGGCATTGGTTGTAGCTGGAAAATTCCGCTGAGGATGCCAATTATATTGCTTAATGTGCAACAATGAGTACTAGGTTCTAGCCAAAATGGTAATTAAAGCAAACAAGTGTTGTCCTTAACTCACCTTGGGTCTGGCAATGAAAGTACCAAAAGTGGCCCCAACACTGATTAGTTGGCAATGTGCCCCCCATGGAGAGGGCCCCCAACACTGATTAGCTGGCACCGTGCCCCCCGCGGAGGGGGGCTCCATGATGCAAAGCCTGTAAAGATCATATGCAAATAGCCACTTTAGTTCCTGGGCATGTCACCAGCCCTGCCAGCGATCAGGCAATCGGGCACTCAAGGACTGAGCATTGACTTGTAGGAGACCAGTTGGGGGGTACAGTATGGAGCAGGTATGGGGGGTCCACAGAGCTACTGAATAAGTTATAACAATGGGTGATTGGTACACAGTAGGAGAGGGCCACACGGGGAGCCACTGATTTGCTAATGACAGGTTTGCTTTGAAGCTGAACTCTGGGCAGGTCTAAAAGACACACATGGACGCAGCTGTGAATTCAATAATACAGGAGTAGGTAACCTCAACACTCCAGCTGTTGTGGAACTACAAGTCCCATGAGGCATTGCGAGACACTGACAGCAAGAGACATGACAGGATTTGTAGTTTCAGCCCAGCAGGAGTGTCGGGGTTGCCTACCACTGCATCAGAGGCGGGGTGACACCCGGTGCGGGTACCTGGTGACACCCCACAATGACATCATCGTGCATGCGCATTATGACGTCACGTGCTGTGCTGCGGTTACCTGCCGGTGGCCATCTTGGTGATGGATGCCGGCAGAGGAGGGAACGTCACCCTGAGAGATAAGGTATGCCGCCGGGTCCCCTCTTCTCTCGAGCAACTGTTGGGCTCTTAGACCTTGACCGAGTGCCCGACTTTTCAGAGAGGGGGTGTCATTTGGGTGTCATCCCTCCAATGGTGTCACCCGGGTATGGGCCGCACCCCACGCACCCCGCTTGTGACGCCATTGTTGCATTAATACATGAATAAATCCAAATTCCAGGGAAAAAAGGTTTTCCCGTGCAATGGGGCCGCTCCTGTACTGCAAGGGTTAACTGCTCAGGACAGGAAAAAGGCATTTTAGTTATCTGATCCCTCCCCCCCCTCCCGCTAGACTGGCCCCCTTGCTCTGGTCCCCAGTGGTCTAAAGGCCACTTATGTCATCAAGTACAATGAAAGCTCCATAGCCCTGCACTGTATAGGTGGCCATACACTGTACAACCATCGCAAGACCTTAGTCTTGCGATGGTTGTAAAGTACTTAAAAAAACGTACGATCTGCCCATCTTGGACAGGCAGATCGTACTTGCGATGACTGCAATGAGGGGCGGGCTTGCGAGGACGGCAAACGGGCAGTGTGCGCGTGCGCACACCGGCCCGTTCGTCAGTTGTCGAACAAGCAGGCCACTCACTCGCCGAGAATCGTACGATTCCCGGCGGGTTTTCTAGCCTGCTTGTTCGATGGAAGACGTGCGACCGTACAGTAGAAAGGGTCGCACGCCTTCCATACACTGTACGATTCTCGTACGATCGCGGGATACGAGAATCGTACAGTGTATGGGCACCTTATGTGAGGACGCTGAGGGACATTCCACAACCAGATCAGACTGGCAGGTGAGCGAGGATCAGGTAAGTAAAACAGCTTTTTCCTGTCCCCTAGGCATACACAAGCAGTTAACCCTTGCAGTACAGGGGGCAGTCCCACTGCACGGAAAACCATTTAATTCCCATGCAGTTGCTTTATTGTGATAATAAAGTCATATTTCAAATACTGATGAAATCACTTACAATGGAGGCTGCCATTGATGTTTAAAAGTTTTAGTTTCCTGCAAAATCAGCTGGTCCCCTGAGCCCAGGTCCTGATATGTTTTAGGGTGGCTCCTATCTCTTGCAGGGTCCTATGGAGCCACCCTTGTGTGTGCTAGTAAGCTCTGTGTGTGTCTACAAACACAGGCACACAGTGCCAGTAGATGGACACCTGCTGCAGACTGCCATTCTACGTTCTACATGGGGGGGCTCTAAAATTAACGTGTGTATTTTTTACTTCGGGTTTGATTTGATATCTACTTGTTATATCGGTATACTGAGCCTAGGGTGACGGGAGGACGCTAGTTTGTGTCCTCCTGTTACCCTGAGGAGAACTATGAGGAAAAGCCTTAACCCCATAGTTCTCCTTTAACTGCTGTGTACTAAGGAAATGCAGAGTGTAAGACTGAAAGACGACTTATTTCCCACGCTCCCTAAACCATTCCTTCAAGATCAGTGGGTGTGGCCACAAAACTTTTAGGTATTTGTTTCTGAAATGAAACATTGTAACAGATCTCGGGGACATTCTATAAAGTAAATAAGTAACTTGTCCACAAGTGATTATACATACCAGAGTGTACTATATAGTTTCAATAAAAACAGATTGGCTGAACTGCAGAATTTCAGGGTCACTTCTGTGGACACAGAGTCCTCAATCTCTTTTTCTGCATCCCCTGTTATAAATGAAGAGGAATCATTTATGCTGAGTGCTCCTGTCCATTCATAGCCTGGGGAGTCTGTCCACAATCATGAATGAACAGGAAGTGATGTAGAGGACTTCCTGTTTATTCATAACTGGGGACACAGAGTCCTAATTCTTTTTTTCTGCAGCACCTGTTATGAATGAACAGGAAGCCTCTATACTGAGTGCTCCTGTCCATTCATAAACTGAGGAGTTACTATGTCCACAATCAGGAATGAAAAGGAAGTAATGTAAAGTACTTCCTGTTTATTCATAACTTAGGACACAGTAAGCGTAGTATGTCCTCAGTTTTTTGCAAGCAGTCAGCTATCAGCTGATTAATGAGTGCTTGTAACCTGCTCTCCATCCTGACTGGCTTTTACAGGAAACTGTGCGGGAGGAGAGCTCAGCCTCCTGGGACAGCTGACAGCTCTCTCCTCCCCACATCTGCCCACTCGGCATCCTGACAGCTTCTCTCCTCCCCACTGGACGCCAGTCTGTATCCCCTCCGATCCCTGCTGCTCTTCCATACCTGTGTTGGCAGAGGCAGCAGGGATCAGAGGGGACACAGACTGGCGCCCAGTGGAGAGAAGTTAGGTATGCACTGTATTTTCAGCTGCATTATGGGGCATTTGGTACTATCAGCATTTCACCCAAAGTACCATTTTCAGGTAAAATTTTTCGGTGTCAAAATTTCGGTGCATCCCTAATAATAATAATAATCATTATTATTATTATTATTATTATTATTATTATATATTCATGTTTTTTTGGACAGTTTACCATGCTTTTGTTATACATTCTCCATATCAGTGTCAATTTCCTGCCTCTTCCTTTGTTAGTTTCATTTTTGAGATCCGCACGTGTCCTCTGCATTATATAGAAGACACCTCCCCAAATTTAGATCACACAAGAACATTAGCAGGAAATTGAATTGCGTAGTGCAGGGGGACAACGACAACATTCCAGGGTTCGCTTAGGACCCTGGGTTACAATAAGGAGTCAGTTACAAAAAGTTACAAAAAACTCCTCACGTGGCTTTGTTGTACAGAACCCAAATCCTGACCACTGAAGCAAAGGTGAAGAGTGATATGGTTTGCTGAGTCAGCTCTCTACGCCGCATTCGGCCAAGTTCATATCAGGAGAAGGCCACCGGATGCCAACAACGCACAACATCAATTGACAACATGCATGGCATGGCATAATATACAGCAACAGTATAATCTGTCAAACAAGCTCTCTCTTTTATCATTAAAAAATAACCCTTGCGCTCCAGTTCAGTAAGTTTGCCTAGGCTGTGATGATGTCATCAGTCTGCTACAGGCAAGAGGAGCATCTTCTCTCCCGGGCCCCTAGTAATCATACTGAACAATGTAGGAAGTCACAAGGCAGGCTTTGATCTGTATCAGACATTTATGAACACAGCAGAGAACATAACAGGCAGCTTACCAATTCTTAAATGTGGTAGCTGCATTGGTTTTCCTTTTTTAGGCTCATATTTCCTTATTGCCGCCTGGTGATCCAGCCAGTAACACACTTCCCGTCTTTGGGTGGCTCAGCTCTATGAAGGAGCAATGGAGCCCCCCTTGGACAGCAGCATTGTCCCCCTGTGGGGAGGGTAGCATTAGATGCTACAGCAGTTTTAGATGGACAGGGCTATCAAATTAACTCCAAACTCCTAAAAGTACCACCTCCTGAATGCCTGCAAGCAGCACCTTTTTCTTCTTCTAAAAAGCTTTTTTTTGTTTTACCGATGATCACTTTTCACTTTTCGTGGATCCTCAGCCTGCGTCTGTGCTGCTCCCTGTTTAGCTAAAACCATTGGTAGATGAAGACATACATTTGCTATGCAAATCATGACATTTCCTGAAAAAGTCAAGGTTAACCCTGCCCTCATTCTACCAACCAAGCATTTCTATTCCCCTTTAACTGCGATGGACTCTCTCATTGACCAATAGTGAGGTTCAGCAAGGGGGGCGGAGTCAAACAGGAGCATATACAGAATGTAATGTAATGCAATACCACATTATGGTCACTAGATAGCGCTAGTCGCCAGGATCGCTTCTGTTGTAAAGCCGACAGTCGGCTCTACAAGTTTAAACAGAGTCCCGGCGGCAAAAGTCACCGGGAGTCTGTTTAAACAGCCCCGATGCTGGCGACGTACACTGTACGTCGTCAATCACGAAGGGGTTAAATATCCCAATGTGGGATGTGCTATGTACAGTC